TGGTCGGGTTTTTGATCAAATGCGTATTTCGGAAGTTTTGAAGAAACTTAGGCTTGAATCCGATGTGATTTAATGGTTTTAGCGTTGTTTGATGTGTTTTGATGATTGGAACAAGTTTGAATAATGGTTTAGGATGTGTTGGTGCTTTTGGTTGAGGTCCCGGGGGCCTCGGGGTGGTTTCGGATGGTCAATCGGACCATTTTTGGACTTAAAGATTTCAGGTTCAGCTATTTGTGTAGCAGAAGAAAATTGCTCTTCGCGTTCGCATGGGTGAGTCGCGAACGCATAGAGGGAATTTGAGGGCATGGAAATTTGGTCTTCACGTTCGCGTGGCATTGGGTCGCGTTCGCGTAGTTCTGAAAGGCGAAGCATCGCGATCGCGATTGGGCTTCCGCGATCGCGTAGAAGGAAGTTAAGGCCCTGAGAAATTGTTCAATGCGTTCGCGGCCAGGTGTATGCGTTCGCGTAGTTGGAAGTCCTGAAGGTACGCATTCGCGGGTTGGGAACCGTGTTCGCATAGGGTTAATTTTTGGTCAATGTTTTCTGTTCATCGCGAACGCGGGGGAGTTGACCGCGTTCGCGTAGAGTAAAATGCACCTGGGCAGAAGGGTTTTTATATTATTTCATCCGCGAAGCTTGGTCCATTTTCCTCCATTGTTGGGCACCTTGAGAGCTTTTTGGTAGAAATTGAAGAGGGTCTCGACGGGAATTGATTGGAGGTGAGTCCTATGGCTTAGAAACATCATTTTATTGAAGAATCAACCTGTAAGTTCATGGAAATTTGAGTAAAATTGGAAGAACAAGGGCTTGACTTTTGAAATGAAAATTTGGGATTTGAGGGGGCATTTGAGCTCCGATTTTGGTAAATTTGATATGTATGGACTCGTGGCGAGACCAGGAATCCGGTGGTGTGAATTTTATAATTTTTCGAGAAGTGGGCCCGGGGCTCGGGTTTTGCCAACTTCGTGATTTTTGATTATTTTCGAGTCTTTTCGATTGGGTTATGTTCCCTTAGCCCATTATGATGTATTCCTTGTGGTTTTGACCAGATTCTACGCACGAGGAGGTTGATTTGCGAGGCAAGCGCAAAGCGAGCTAGGATTTCGGCCGGCTTGAGGTGAGTAATGGTTATAAATGACGTTCTGAGGGTTTGAAACCCCGGATTTGCACTATGTGGTGCTATGTTGAGATGAGACATACGCTGTATGATGAGCGTGGGGTTTGTTACTGCTGGGGATTTGGACTCGGTCCATCCCGATTGATGACTCTACTGTATTTTTGGCTGAGACTTAATTAATATCAGTATATTCTGGGCTAGTTGCCATGTTTGGGGCCTTGTGCCGATCTGTTGACTTCACTTTACTTGTCGAAATCATACCCTCAGTCATGTTCTTAACTGTTAAACATAATATGAACCGGCTTTAGAAATTGGCAATCCAAATGAGAAATACCTGGGGTTGGAAACNTGGGTTCCCTTGAGTGTTGTCATTGTTGTTTGACATGATTGATGCAATCAAGAAAATCAAATTGAAATATAATTGATTATCAGATTTCCGGCAACGGAACCAATTTGTTTAACCAAAAAATAGATTTTTAGTCAAAGCTAGAAATTAGAAGAATCGAGTTACTGATAATCGAAAAAGTAAATAAAGAAAGAAATTTTAGAATAGCCAAGTATGAAAGCTGGTAAATTAAAGTATATTCCAATAGTCACCTCCCCCTACAATTGTTTGTTTCTTCCCTTTTTATAGCTCTTTTGGGATACGAGCCTTACCTTTGTCATAATAATGCTATTATGAGCAATTAATGACTTTAAATGTTACGTTATACAATCATATACATTAAATACATATTTTCTAACGTTTCTAATAATTAATACTGATTAAATGCTGTATCTGGGCTCCTTTTTGCTGTCAGATTCATTCCTTTGATTCTTCACTATCTTTGAGTTTTAAATGTCTTGAATAGGTACGAGCGTTGAATTACTTGTATGACTGCTCGCACCCCCTCCATTTAATTTACTCGGATCTATTGTTGCTCGTATCTGTTGTTGCTCGTATCTGTTAACCAACCTTATTTCTTTGACTGTTTGACCAGTCTATATGTCATGACACGTCGCCATATACATAAATATGATTTTCCCCAATACAACTTGGTCCTACATAAAATAGGTTTTGACTTAATAAATTTAAGTTCATCCCTTTATTTCATAAAAAGAAAGTCGGCCGAGTTTGTATTGGACTAAAATTACTTATGCGAGAACTGAGTTATTTTAGGAGTTTGGTAACACTACTGCTTAGCTTCACACTGATGGCTAATTCACATCGCAAGTTAGTAGTCAAGATGCAGCGTGGTTATCATGGTATTTAGTTATTTACGGACGAAAATTGACGCAACTAATTTCTTCTCTGAAATGGAGAAAAAATCAAGATGGTTCACTTTGGTACATCAGACTGTTAAGTGATTCATAAAAGGACATTGTCTTATGTGGTGCTTCAGGTCATCTCTTTGATTTCAACAAGCCTACACCGCGATAAGTCCTGAAGCAGGGGCATTTGTAGACATATAAAATTTATTGGGTTTAATCCATACAAAATTTGGATTAAATTCAATTGGGTTAAATAATTAATTTTGGCTTTACAAGTTAAATTAGTCCATTTTATTATTTTCAGGCGCAAAGTCCATTATCTTAAGGCCCAGACTTATGCCATGTGACATGGCATATCCAGTCAAACTCCAGGCCAATAAGGTGACGCCACGTGTTAAATGATGTGGCAATCCAAGTAAAAGAGCAAGAACCAACCACAAGTCACCAAGTGGCTAAAATGACATGGGCCAATCAGAATCAAGCAAGAGAGTTCTTATGTAGCTGGACTGTCCATCCTCTACAACTATAAATAGAGGGGTTACATAACTCTCAAGGGACATTCAGAGTTGGAGAAGAACACTCCGCAATTGGTGAAGGCATCCACAAACAGAGAGATCAATCATCAAGTGCTTAGTTCTTCGACAAAGGAGTGATCAACGGAGTTCTTCCCGGAGATCAACTCGTAACAACAAAGTGCTGCTCGACGTTCTTGGCGATTAAATACATCACAAGGAGGTCCGCATCATCCTACATTCGAGAAAGACGCTTCTCAAACCCTCGAATCACGGAGAATTTTAAAGAGGAGAATCAAGGAATAAATAGAATTATACTCACAGATATTTATCAATAAAATCACTTGCTTTTTGTGGAGTGATAACATATGATGCTATCTCAATTATAATTAGGGGCACTTGTCCTTGTTAGGAGTAGTATGCGTGCTGACAATCTTCTATTCCTAATTAGGTGGAGTCACAAAAGGAAAAAAATATAAAGAATAAAAAAGAATATGAACAATATTTCCAAGGCCCTCCTTCCTGTACAGAACATTAAAGAATTAACTAATTATAAGAATACCAGACAAAATTTGTGAAAAAAAAAAGATTTTATTAGCACTATAATTAAAAAAAAAATTATTAGTACTATAACAAAAAGAGAAACAGTAGAACGACATAAACCCTTTAAAATATCTAAGAAATTTCTCTCACATACATTTTATACAAAGAAAGAGTAAAACACTCTAAAAAAGAATTGAAAGTCAAACAAGATGAAATATTGTGAATTAAGAGAATAATTCACATCTTTATCTTTGCTGGGATAGTAAGGATCTCGGTTATCAATCTCTCTGCTTGTCCCTGCTGCCATGTTATAATAGAAAAGAGAACAAACAAACCAGATAAGTGCAAGAGGAAGAGAAAATCAAATAGAAAAGAAGAATACAAAATATAAAAATAGATAAAATAACCGAACATGAAAGAGATCATGCAAATCAAAAAAAAAAAAAAAAAAAATGATGAAGGAATTTACCTTGGGCAATTGGCAGAAAGAAGCGGAACAGAGAAATTTACCTTTAGCAAGTGTAACAAAAAAATAGAAAGGGAAGGAGACGTTACAAAAAAGAAGAAAAGGAAAAGGCAATTTTATAGTAAAGATACCACATTCACTGTAGCAATATTTAGCATTGAGTCCCTTAATATATTTACCGTTTAGCTTATACTTTCTACAATATTTTTAGCTTTATTTACTGATGTAGAGGGTAATTATGTATTTTAACTTTTAAAGGATATTATAGTAAAATAACATCACACTAAAATCTTCGTGCTTATAATATAGTATGATATGATATGATGTGATATGATGATAAATTTTACTTTGTCAGAAACAAAATTAACTAATTGAACAAAAAGCGAATAAAAGAAAAAGAACCAAAAGGGAGAACAAAAAATAGAAGAACCTAACTCGTCTTTTAAACTAAGTTTTGCGTGTAAAAGGAATCTTTAGAATTGGAGACTCGTTATTATTTGAAGCAGCGAATTTCATTTAGTCGATCACCTACTTATTCTTGTTGAAGTTGGATTCAATTTTACTTGGAATTTCTTTTAGCAATAAGCTTTACTCCTGATTCAGCTCGCAGTTACAATTATTAATTTGAGGTATGGTCGTCAGCCCAATTCCCGAACATACCATACCCATGACATCTTTGATTTTAAGAAGTTATTGCTTCTATTTCATTTTATATGACAATATTTATCTTGACGCAAAATGTGACATGCAATTGACATATGTGTTATATGGTGGCGCCTCCCTTTCATCACTTCACAAAAATACATACAAGGAGGAGGATTAAACATCCATGTGACTCCAAAAACATGCATGCACCATTTAGCCGTATGAAAGAAAATATATATTATAACAAAAAACATGTCTCGTAGAGAAAAAATCACATCAAGTTTTAAACTTAATACGTAAATGAATTTTAACGTCGTATATTTTGAAATCTCCTAAATTAGAATCAAAATTATCACATAAATTAAAACTTAAGAAATAGAAAAACATGAAATATGATATTTTGAATTAATATCAATATTTGTGTTTCTCGTAGCAGCCACAAAAAAAGTTATAAACATTTACTGAAAGGCTTAACAACCTTGTTTTTTCTTCTATATTTTGCTATTTTATGTTCCTTCATGATGGAACAATAGTCTACAACAAATATTCTCCTACTTAATAAGAAAAAGAGTTCTCATACATCTACACTTCGAATACTGATTAAAATGAGCCCTCCAATTAAGTTCAAGTAAATTAACATAATGAAACTTCTATACTCTTTTTGTTAGCATAAAAAAGACTACTTTTCGAAATAGGTGATTTTCTAGAACGGATTAATAAGAAAATAATCTTAATAAATGTGGAACGGAATAAAATATTGTGTGTGCAGGTGGAAAAAACATGTTAGTGGTCAACGACACAAAACAAATACATATATAGTATTAGTCGCATGTGATGTGAATTACTACAAAATGAACCATTTCTTGAAATTGCCTGAGGGCTGCATATCGACAATCCTTTCATTGACAACTCCAGCAGATGCAGCCAGATCATCAGTTATATGTAAAGGATTCAATTCTGCCGCTGAATCTGATGTTCTTTGGGAAAGATTCCTTCATCAACATGAAGTAATCATCTCAAGGTCAACGTCTCCTCCCATTTGCACCACCAAGAAAGAGCTTTTCCTTAGGCTCTCGTCTCACTCACATATCCTCCTTGATAGAGGAAATTTGGTAAACGATCCCATTTTCTCTCTTTCTTCTTGTGGCTTTTTATACGTCGTGTAACCGATATTCACTCGACTCATTCGAATTCGTGCCACATAGGATCTACCAGGAATTTCTAGACTTCAAACCTAAGGGTAGGTGAATTTTATATAGAGTATTCTGATTGTTTTTCATTTTTTTCCCATTTGCAAATGGGAAAATGGTCTAAGGGCCGCTTAAACTTTCACCCGGTCGTTTGTGATCCCGATATAAGCTTGACTTTTTGTTGTCGGTGAATATTTGTCCTTTTGATGTTTATGTGATCTGCTGGAATTAGCGAACAGTCTTAGAATCTTGGTATGTAGCAATTTCTTGAATTTCCTTAGATTAGTATTTATTCCTATGCTTTTCTGGTGGTGGTTCTGCGGAAGGTCAAGACGGCTTGAATATATGGTGGTTGAACCTATTAGCTTTGGCTCAGACTGTATATTTGTATTAAATTTTTTACCAAACATGTAAAAATTAAATTAAGAGCACCCAGTTACTAACATTTGAAGTTGTTGTCCTAGAATTTAAAACCTATAAAATTCAACTCTTAGATTCGCCTATATGTCGTCTTTACTTCATTGGGAAGACGCGGTACTCATTAGCAAGTGTCTGGTGACCAACGATTCTGGATCACTCGATCCTCGAGTGTTTCCCTAACAACAACAACCGCTGACAGCACTCCACTACTATCGTCATGTATATGGTACAACAAGAGACAAATATCGGAAGGTTTTTACCCAAAACTTCGCTCTGATACCTCCTAAAGCAAAATAGGCATGCGCATGAGTAGAGAGTGTGGGGCCCATATTGAAGAAAAGAAAAAGAAAAGAAGAAATAATGGGATGGTAGGTGCCTGACTTTGTTGACATCATATGCAAATTGCATATGCAAAAAATGTTGATTGGTTAGATTTGCGGCTGGGCGGTGGAAGAATTTGCAAGATTTGCAAATTGGTTGAAATTGTCAGATACATACAAATCAATTTTGATTGGTTAAAGTATCAGCTCTTCCAGCTATAAATAGAGGCCCTTGTTCCTCATTTCAAATACACCAAAATAAGAGAGAAGTATTAAAGATGTGAGAGTAATCCACAGACTATTTTATAGTCTGTGAGAGAATAGAGTGGGAGTAATATTGTAGTGAGATATTTAAAATAAAGAGTGTTATTTCTTTTGAGTCGTAGTAGTCTTTTGACACTACACAGTTGTAATATTATAGTGATATTATATTGCTCCTCTCGGGTATTGTATTTTATCCCGTTAAAAGATTTGGTATTGTTGTTACTCTCTTGTGTTATTATTATTTGCCTTGGATATTATTCCTGGGCGGGATATATTTGTTATCCCAACAATGTGGTATCAAAGCCACGGCCAATAATGGTCTGCTATCTTTTTAGTACCCCGTTTCACAAAAGATAATTAAGAGAAATGGTGTCTACGTATAAAAGCCATTTTTGGCTCTCAGGATGTATGGAAAATTGTAGACAGATGGTATGCAAAACCCAATAATGAGGAAGCTCTGCCTCAAAATTAAAAAGAGGTCTTGGCAAAGACGAGGAAGAAGGATCAATAAGCCATCACGCTCATCCACCAATGTTTGGATGATGCCATGTTTTAGAAGGTGACAAATGCCACCACCTCAAAGGAATCTTGGGAGATTTTACAAAATTCTCTCCAAGGAGTTGACAAGGTGAGGAAAGTAAAACTTCAAACTCTAAGGGTTGATTTTGAAGTTTTAAAAATAAAAGAATCCGAATGCATTTCGGATTATTGTTCAAACGTGAAGGTTGTTGTAAATCAATTGAGAAGATACGGGGAGGACATAGAAGATGTCCGTGTGGTAGAAAAGATCTTTTGCACGTTAACACCTAAATTTGATTTTGTGGTGTATGCTATTGAGGAGTCTAAAGATTTAGACTCTATGATGGTAGAGCAATTGGAGGGTTCTTTAGAGGGCCATGAAGAAAAAATCAAGAGGAGACGAGAAGTGCCATTGGAGCAACTTCTTAAAACTCAGGCATTCTTTAAGGATTATTGGGAATGGACGAGGACGAGGACGAGGACGTGGCGGTCATTAAAGAGGAAAAAGTAATGGTAACAACATTAACAATAAAGTTAAAATCCACCAAACATTCAGAGGTCGTGGCCGTGGACAAAGAGGAGGAAGAGGACATGGCTACTACCAAAAGTAATGGACAAAGGTATGGCAAATCAAAATTTGAGTGTTATAATTGTCATAAATTTGCCCACTACTCTTGCGAATGTCGAAGAAATGTTAAAGAAAAAGCTAACCTTGTTGACGACAAGAAAGAAGAAAATGAGTCAACATTGTTGCTGGCACTCAAGGAAAAAGACATGGATTATTGTAGCTCGTATTATTGGACAATGGAGCAAGTAATCATATGTGTGGATGCAAAGAGAAGTTTCTAGAGATCAATAAAACGGTGAGAGGTAATGTATCCTTTGGAGATACCTCAGAGATTTAAATCGAAGGGATATGTACGATTCTAATCTCCTGTACAAATGGTGACCACAAGTTAATTCAAGATGTTTATTATGTCCCAAAATTAAAAAGTAATATTTTGAGTTTGGACTTCTTGGAAAGGAATATGACATCCACATGAAAAATATGCATCGTTGGCTTAGAGATTCGTTTTGAATTCTAATTGATAAAGTGCATATGGCAAAAGGATAGATTATTTTCTCTGAATCTTAAAACAATTGATGCAAAGCGTTTTGAGGCTAATGTGCAAGATGAATCATGGTGTTGGAACATGCGATTTGGGCACTTGAATTTTGAAGCACTTAAATCAATGGGAGAAAAGAACATGGTACATGGGATACCATCACTCAACCACCCAATCAATTGTGTGAAGCTTGACTTCTTGGAAAATATGCAAGGAGGAGTTTTCCAAAGGAGGCCATGTCAAGATCAACCAGACCTCTTCAGCTTGTTCACACTGATGTGTGTGGACCATTCAATCCAACTTCCTTTAGTAAAAGTAAATACTTTTTCTGCTTTTCATTGATGACTTTAGTAGAAAGACTTGGGTTTATTTCTTGAACCAAAAATCTGAAGCTTTTGCTGCTTTTAAAAATTTCAAATTACTTGTGGAGAAAGAAAGTGGCTATGAAATATATAAAAGCTTTAAGGTCCGATGGAGGAAGCGAATTCACTTCAAAAGAATTTAATGACTTCTGTCAGTCTCATGGAATTCGTCGCCCTCTAACGGTACCTTATTCACCCCAACAAAATGGAGTTGTAGAGAGAAAGAATTGAACGATTCTTCATATGGCTAGATGTATGTTGAAACTAAAAGTATGCCCAAGGAATTTTGGGCCGAAGCTGTTTCTTGTGCAGTTTATTTGAAAGGGTCTCCAACAAGGAATGTTAGAGATCAAACCCCTCAAGAAGAATGGAGTGGAAGAAAGCCAAGTGTCAAGCACTTGAGAATCTTTGGGAGCATAGCCTATGCTCATGTGCCACATCAAGGGAGAGCGAAGCTTGACGATCGAAGTGTCAAGCATGTGTTTGTTAGCTATGATACGAGTTCAAAATGCTACAAGCTATACAATTCAAGTAGCGGCAAGGTGGTGGTAAGTCGTGATGTTGAATTTGATGAAGAATTGGCATGGAATTGGGAAGCTCAGGAAGAAACTTCATATGATTTTCTTCCATACTTTCCTGATGAAGAAGAACCAGAGACCGTGGAACTTGTGCAAGATACAACTCTACCTCCTTCTCCAACAAATATTGCATCTTCTTCTTCTCAACAAAGTTCAAATGAGCAACCACAAAGGACAAGGAGCATCCAAGAGCTCTATGATGGCATGGAAGAAGTTATCAATTTTTATTTTTTATATTCTCTTTGCTGATAGTGAACCAATTAACTTTGATAAAGTTGTTACGGATAAAAGGTGGAGACAATCCATGGAGGAGGAGATCAAATCAATAGAGAAGAACAACACTTGAGAGTTAACAACTCTTCCCAAGGGTCATCGTGCAATCAGAGTAAAATGGATATACAAGACAAAGAAGAATACTGATGTGGATGTGGAAAGATACAAGACACAACTTGTGGCTAAAGGCTACAAGAAAAGGTAAGGCTTTGACTATGAAGATGACTATGCACATGTTGCCCGCATGGAGATAATTCATTTGTTGATCTCTTTGGCGGCGCAAATAAAGTGGAAGATCCATCAACTAGACGTCAAGTCAGCCTTCTTGAATGACTATCTTGAAGAAGAAGTCTATGTTGAATAACCATTGGACTTCATGGTCAAAAACCATGAAGATAAAGTGTTGAAGTTGAACAAAGCTTTATATGGATTGAAGCAAGCCCCGCGAGCATGGAATAGTTGCATCGACAAGTATTTTCAAGGAAATGGGTTTACTCGTTATCTCCATGAATATGCTCTTTACCTTAAACTTCATACTAATAAAGATATCTTGCTTGCTTGTCTTTATGTTTATGATCTTATTCTCACAGGTAATAACCCAAGTTTGTTTGAAGCTTTTAAGAAAGATATGTCCCGTGAGTTCGAGATGACAGACGTATGGCTCATGTCATACTACTTGGGCCTAGTAGTGAAGCGGATGGAGTATGTAACTTTTCTCTTAAGAAAGCTATATAAAAGAGATATTGAAGAAGTTCAACATGCTCGATTGTAACCCTGTGAACACACCGATGGAAAGTGGGACAAAATTGTCCAAGTTTGATGAAGAAGAAAAAGTGGATCCCACATTTTTCAAAAGTCTTGTGGGAAGTCTGAGGTACTTGACTTGTACCAGGGCAGATATACTCTTTACAGTTGGAGTAGTAAGCTACTTCATGAAAGCTCCTACCTCCAGTCATTTGAAAGTCACTAGAAGAATTCTTTGTCACCTAAAAGGTACGATTGACTTTGGGTTATTTTATTTTTCTTCTAGTGACTTTAACCGTATGAGAATTTGTGGTAGTGATTATGCGGGAGATATTGATGATACAAAAAGCACAACTGGTTTTGTATTTTTCTTTGTTGATTCTGTTATTTCTTGGAGTTCAAAGAAACAATCCATTGTTACTCTCTCGACTTGTGAAGCTGAATATATAGCAGCAACATCTTGTACATGCCATGCAATTTAACTGAGAAGATTGTTAAATGAGCTCAAATTATCACAAAATTGAAGCTATAGAGATTTGTATTGACAACAAATCCGCACAAACACTTGCCAAGAAACCGGTGTATCGTGATCGAAGCAAGCATATAGATACAAGGTATCACTTTATCAGAAAATGCATTACCAAGGAGGAAGTCGAGCTCAAATATGTGAAGTCTCATGATTAGACTGCAGATATCTTTACAAAGCCTCTTAAGTTTGAGGATTTTTAGAGATTGAGATCAAGTCTTGGAATGAAAAAGAAAAATTTAAATTAAGGGAGAGATTTGAGGGGCCCATATCGAAGAAAACAAAAAGATAAAAAAGAAATAATACGATGGTAGGTGCCTAACTTTGTTAACATTATATGCAACTTGCATATGCAAAAAATGTTGATTAGTTGGATTTGTGGCTGGGCGGTGGAAGAATTTGCAAATATACAAATTGTCAAATTGGTTGAAATTGTTAGATACCAATCTATTTTATTTGGTTAAACAACCGGATCTTCCTGCTATAGATAGGCACTCGTTCCCATGTCAAATACACCAAAATAAGAGAGATGTATTAGAGCTGTGAGTATAATTCACAGTCTACTTTATAGTGAGAAAATAGAGTGCGAGTGATATTGTGGTGAGATATTTAAAATACAGAGTGTTATTTTTTTTTGAGTCGTAGTAGTCTTTTGGTACTATACGGTTATAATATTATAGTGGTATTATATTGCTCCTCTCGGGTATTGTATTTTACCCCATCAAAAGATTTGGTGTTATTGTTACTCTCTTGTGTTATTATTATTTGTCGTGGATATTATTCCGGGAGGGGGGGGGGAGGGGAGGATATATTTATTTTCCCAACAGAGAGTCTGCCTGAGTCGTGCGGCCCAAGGTAACACCTAGTTTAGTGTAGCACCTAGGTTCGGCCTTCTCCTTGCATTGCCGAGTTTTGCTCCTGATCGTTCTCTGAGTCTCTAGTTCGTTACCTTTTACATTTAAAATTTATTAAATTTTGATTATCAACCTATACGTTCCAAAACTTTTACATTTAAAATTTATTAAATTTTTTCATAATGTTCTAATTTGAACTGTAAAATGCAGAGTTTTTCACTTGATAGATGGAGTGGAAAAAAGTGTTTCATGGTGGCTCCAAGGGCACTTAGCATTGCATTGGTTGAGAACCCACAGCATTGGGAATGGACTACGCGTCCTGAATCCAGGTTTTATTCCTTTTACAAGGTTGATTATTAGTTTGTAATAGAAAATAAAGCACAACTATTGATATATTTTTCTATACATTTTATAGATTCTCGGAACTCGCAATTCTTAAATCTGTACAATGGTTAGATATTCGGGGGAAGATAGGAACTCAAATGCTGTCTCTGGGGACAAAATACGCAGCCTATCTTGTATTCAAGCTACTGAATGATACATATGGCATTAAAACGTTGAATGCAAAAGTCAGAATTGTCAATCACGCGAATGAAAACGAAGCTGTAAAACAAGCTACAAACGTGTACATTCCAAGCATGTCAAGATTCTTTGTTAAGAATAAAACTGATCCACTGTATGAAAAGTATGCAAAGATAAGAGGTGATGGATGGATGGAAGTACAGTTGGGAGATTTCTATAATAAGGAAGGCGACGACGAAGAAGTAGAAGCACGATGTATGGAGATCGAGCGCCTTCATAATAAGAGCGGCCTTATTGTTGAAGGAATTGAGTTTCGCCCTCAACAATGAACTGTTGTTTTCTTGCTGTAACAACAATAATAACATACCCAGTATAATCCTACAAGTGGGATCAAGGAAGAGTAGTGTGTACGCAGACCATATCTCTATTTTCTGAAGGTAACCATAGTGGGTTGGAATAATTAATTGAGCTGAACAATGCGTCATAATGTAATTTGCTTAACTCAACTTTTGGAAGGGGTTAATTTAATTCTATAATACTAGTAAGGCTTCGTTTACAAGGGTCAAATTTATACATCTACATTCAAAAATAGTTTATATTGTTGGAATCGAAATAACATGGTGCATGTGAAAACTGACAATACAAAGCTTGGTGGACGATAAATCATACGACAAAAGAAAAATATACTAAACTCATCATAATAGTTTATAATGGTTTGGTCAATTGATCTACATATGATAAAACTAATATAAACGAAGAAAAGCTATCGAGAGAAAAATCTCCCCCTAAACAAAACTCTTTAATGACTACATTGTGGATATTTTTTTTGTGCTCTTGTGAGAAGTAGAGATCCTTAATTTATAGATGTGCAAAACTTGTCTTCCGAGAAAAGGATAAGATATATTAAGGAGATTTAATCCTTTTAGGAGTCTTTTTCCATTCCTTCAAGAAAGAGAGTCCTAATAGGTTAGAAATTCAGGGCAAAATCCTAACATATATCTAACATCTGTTATACTCTGCTAGCAAAAATATCACTAACATAAGCTAAATAGTTAAAAATATCCCTAGTTCTAATAGAGGTCCATCGTGGCAAAGGCCCCGCTGGCCTGATTATGTTGACCTGAGAAGAATATTAGGATTATTACTAGGAGTGGCAAACGGACGGGTGGGGTCGGATATGGGCGGGTCGGAACGGGTAAATTAAAAAGCGGATAAATTATCCAACCCGAACCATATTTAATACAGATAAAAAATGGGTTATCCGGCGGATAATATGGCTATCCACATTATTCATGGCTTCTTGATATAATCACTCTTGGGAGAATTCCTACTCTAACAACCTTGAGGAGCCCCCAATTTGAGGCTTTGCAAATGTAAAAGTTAAAGCCATTAGTTATCTATTGGTTACCTATTTTCTAAGTGGAAACTATGGTTCTTATCCATATTCGACCCGTTTTTAAAATGGTCATTATCCAACCTATATTTAGTGGATAATATGGGTGGATAACTGTTTTCTTTTAACCATTTTGCCACCTCTAATTATTACTATGATAGTTTATAGAATTCAAAATTAGAAATTTTTATGTAATACTGCGAAAAATTTCATAAACTTAGAGAAGACAACATGGAGATTTTTTTTTTTAACTCCATTGTAAAATTCGCATTCTCAAAAGTCCATGTAACGACCCGACCCGTCGTTACGAGAGTTACCGCCCCGTTTTCCCCTTTTTATGCTTCTATATGTTTCATTATATGTGTTTGGAGAATTTGAAGTAATTCGGTTAGAGTTCGGTTAGAATGAGACAATAAGTCTCTTTTTGAGAAGGTTAGTTTGGAAAAGTCAACCGAATGTTGACTTATGAGTTAGAAGGCTCGGAATAGATTTCCGATGATTCGACTAGTTTCGGGGGATGATTTGTGACTTAGGAGCGCAATCGGAATTGAATTTGGAGGTCCGGTGTAGAATTAGGCTTGAATTGGCTAAGGTTGGATTTTGGTGAATTTCGGATGGTAGGTGAGATTTTGATCCGAGGGTCGGAATGGAATTCCGAGAGTTGCAGTAGCTCCATTACGAGATTTTGGATATGCGTGCAAAGTTTCAGATCATTCGGAGGTGTTTAGGTCGGGTTTTAGATCAAATGCAAGTTTCGGAAGTTTTAGCTTAACTTAGGCTTGAATCCGTGGTAATTCGATGATTTTGATGTTAACGATAGTGTTTTGATGATTGGAACAAGTTTGAATAAGGTCTTGGGGTGTGTTGGTGCTACTGGTTGAGGTCCCGGGGGCCTCGAAGTGATTTCGGGTGGTTAAANTTTCAGACATCAAATGTGCGTGGTTGTTGATTTTGAGCATAGCGGCTTGAGGTGTTTTAGGTGTAACAGTGTTGGGATAGGATCGCGCATTGTAGCGAGGCTACGGGAGTTATGACCTTTTGGGGTAGATTCAGGCATTCTATTTCTATGATGTGAAACGGGGTCTCAGCCTTGTATTGTAATGGTATTGATGAGCTTGAGGTACAGCTCTTTCGTTTGAGTCATTTGTTATGATTTGAATGTGTTCAGATCGTTTCTTACTGGTGCGTGTATTATGCAAGATGTGGTTTAGACTTGTATTGAGGTATCATATCACCAGAGTGGTGTTGGACTCGAGGTGATCGTTGGGTTCATTAATGAATACGGACAGATTTGATCTTAGCTTGTTAGGAAGATAATATCGAGGTTTGACCCGAAAATCTGTTGTGATATCAGTCAAGGGAAGTGGTTTCAGGAATGGTTGATCTGAGAGAGGACTACGATTTATAGCGTGTCTCATTCATCATTGGCGGTATATGAAAGTGTTGGAATAAGGCTTTAGCTAATAAGAGGTTCTCTGCCGGTAATTGGTTGTTGGGGACAACTACTGTGAATAGAAGTTATGGTTCCAAGTGTTTGGTTTAGGCGGTATATCATATGTTTTCACCTGAGGGTGCAAGTATGGGTTATTACAGCTGGTTCGAGGCTATTCAAGGTATAGGTGTGAGGTTTTGATCATATCGATGGTTTCAGAAGTAAAAAGGTAGTTCTATGATTTATGGGATAGGCTGGATTTTGTAAATCCGGTTTAAATGTGTTATCGGACCTATATGACATAGGGTGACGTGGGATCACCCCGGGTATATGATTGGTAAGATCGTTCAGCTGTTGGTTAGCTTCAAGAACAACTCTGGATACGCTCGAGGACGAGCGTTTGTTTAAGTTGGGGAGGATGTAATGACCCGACCCGTCGTTACGGGAGTTACCGCCCCGTTTTCCCCGTTTTATGCTTCTATATGTTTCATTATATGTGTTTGGAGAATTTGAAGTAATTCGGTTAGAGTTCGGTTAGATATGAGACAATAAGTCTCTTTATGAGAAGGTTAGTTTGGAAAAGTCAACCGAATGTTGACTTATGAGTTAGAAGGCTCGGAATGGATTTCCGATGAGTCGACTAGTTTCGGGAGATGATTTGTGACTTAGGAGCGCAATCGGAATTGAATTTGGAGGTCCAGTGTAGAATTAGGCTTGAATTGGCTAAGGTTCGATTTTGGTGAATTCCGGATGGTAGGTGAGATTTTGATCCGAGGGTCGGAATGGAATTCCGAGAGTTGCACTAGCTCTGTTAGGTGATTTTGGATATGCGTGCAAAGTTTTAGATCATCCGAAGGTGTTTAGGTCGGGTTTTAGATCAAATGCAAGTTTCGGAAGTTTTAGCTTAACTTAGGCTTGAATCTGTGGTAATTCGATGATTTTGATGTTAACGATAGTGTTTTGATGATTGGAACAAGTTTGAATAAGGTCTTGGGGTGTGTTAGTGCTACTGGTTGAGGTCCCGGGGGCCTCGAAGTGATTTCGGGTGGTTAAACGGAGAATCTTGATGTTTGTGCAGGTCTGGTGCACCTGGCTTCTGGTATTTCCGCATCTGCGGAAAAGGAGACGCAGAAGCGGATCCGCAGATGCGGCTAAGAGATCGCATAAAAGGTCTGGAGTGGAGTTGGGCAGTTCCGCAGAAGCGGGACATTTTTCGCTTAAGCGAGTCCGCAGAAGCGGATAGGCGGTCACAGAAGCGGGTTTGGCCAGGAGGTGAGCTTCCGCAGAAGCGGAAATTGGTGTCGCAGAAGCGGCCCTTGAGTTTTAATGAAAAACCGCATAAGCGGTCATATGGCCGCAGAAGCGGTCCCGCATAAGCGGTTACGGGACCGCAGAAGCGAAAAACTGGACTGGGTGACAGAAGGGTTTTAAAATAATATTTCATCCGCGACCCTTTCATATTTTTCCTCCATTGTTGACGTTCTTAAGAGCTTTGAGGAAGGAAATTCGAGGGTTTTGACTGAGAATCGCTTGGAGGTAAGTTCCTTGGCCTAAATATTCGAATTTATGGTAGAAATTACATGTAAATTGTAGAAAATCCATCAAAAACGGGTCAAGCTAGGGCTTGGAAAGCTGTGATGTAAAAATGGAATTTGGAGGGTCAAACGAGCTCCGATTTTGGTAAACTTTATATGCACGGACTCGTGGCAAGACGAGGAATCCGTTGGTGTGATTTTTGGAATTTTTCGAGAAGTGGGCCCGGGGCTCGGGTTTTACCAACTTCGTGAATTTTAGTACTTTTCAAGTATTTTTGTTTTGGGTTATGTTTCTTTAACCCATATTTATGTATTCATTGTGATTTTTACTAGATTCGACGCGCGAGGAGGTCGATAAGAAAGGAAAAGGCATTGCGGACCATTCTACGGCCGGTTAGAGGTGAGTAGTTGGTATATATGATGGCCTGAGGGTTTGAAACCCCGGCTTATCACATTGTGACGCTATTGTAGGGCGTGACTCGCACCCCATGGCAGGTGCGGGATTAGTTATGACTGGGGATTGAGACTTAGTCCATCCCGAACAAGAATGTTTCTATATTGGCGACTGATACGCACCCTGTATTGAATATATCTGGGCTTATTGCCGTGTTTGGGGCCTTGTGCCAATCTGTAGTATCCTTAGAGGATGAATGTCATTGTGATAGCATGCTATGTATAATCCTTGATCTCAGTCCTGTGTTTGATCACTGTTATGAAACGCTAAGTCACTATTCCTGAAGTTAAATATCTAAAGTATATTCTTCTTAATAAATTGGAAATTGGAAAATTAATTGAATCTGTTACGTGACACATATGCATATTGTGGACTGAGTATGGATCGGGGTGCACGCCGCAGCGAATGATATGATTATATTGCGCTTGGGCTAAAGGAGCCCCTCCGGAGTCTGTACACACCCCCAGTGAGCGCCGTCGACGTTAAATGGATCGGGCTACACGCCGTAGCGGTCATGTGCATTGCATTGCATCATTACATTTTACTTGACTGTTATATTTGAAGTTGTTTTGCTGTTGGTTCATAGTAAGGTGTAGGACTGTTAGTGTTAGCTTTGCTTTGTGGTATTTCGTGGATTTCTTATCTTCAGACATTTTATATGCTTATTACTCACTGAGTCGGTAGTACTCACCCCTACTCCCTGCACCTTGTGTGCAGATTCAGGTACACAGGAGGCTTAGCT